GAAATGGACAGTGTATGGCTGGTTGGTTAGCCTTTCTGGGAAGCAGTGGAAATCCAGAGGCTGTAAGAGAGACTTTGTACCCACCCCCTACTTCTGTCCCTACTGCTGTGTCCAAGGGTCTTCCTCCCCAGTAGGTCTTATCTATATATAGGGCCCTAAGATCAAGGACTTAGGGTTGGAGAACTATTTGTTCTAGAAACTGTCAGTGGCAGCAGGGACTAAGACAAGATTCCATTTTGTCACTTCCCCAGTAGCCTGCAAAATTCCTTTACTTTTTTTTTTCCCCCAAGACAGGGTTTCTCTGTGTAGCCCTGGCTGTCCTGGAACTGGCCTCCAATTCAGAGATCCTGCCTCTTTTGCCTCGCCTCCCAAGTGCTGAGATCAAAGCATGTGCCACCACTGCCTGGCTAGTTCCTTTAATCTTTTATGGACCTCAACTCAGGTAAAACCGGATCTTGGTTTAAGGAAGAAAAGAATTTGATGATGAGCCAGTGTGAAGAGGTTTTGGAGTTTATTAAAAAAGAAAGAAGCTGGGTGTGGTGGCACACACTTTTAATCTCAGCACTCAGGAGGTAGAGGCAGGTGATCTCTGTGAGTCTGTGAGTTTGAAGCCAGCCTAGTTTACATAGCGAGTCCTAGGCTAGTCAGGGTTACATAGACCCTGAGCCTCCAAAAAAGTATTTGTTTGGGGAAGTAATAACACAAACACAAGAGTCTGGTGTGGGCTTCTCATAGTTCTCATAGAAGTCATACTAAGTGTCATAGGAGTTGCTAAGCAACATTTTCCCCTCTTAATTTTTTTTACATTCATTTATTTATTTATGTGGGGGCATTTATATTTGCTACTTGGAGGTCAGAGGACAAACAGGTAGGGCTGGGGAGTCAAACTCTGGTCACGAGGCTTGGTGTCTAGTGCCTTTATCTACTAAGCTATCTGGTCACCTAATCCCCTTTAGACAATGGGGATTATAAAATGGGGACCTTGGACAGGATGACAACTTGATAAGGTAAAGCCAGGGGCCACGGGGGTCACACAAGGGCTTTCTCGAGAGACTAATAGAGAATTAGAGGTTTTGAACTGGAAAGAGAGAAGGGCCTCGAGCAAGTGTTGACTGTGTTGGAGTTGTAGATGATCAGTTGGAAAGAGGCTTCTACTAGATTCCAGAGAGCTTCTCTCCATTCCCATACCCTCTTAATATGTATGTGTTTATGTGTGTATTCATGATATGTTACACATGTATGCATGTGTATATAGGCCAGAAGTAAGTGTTAAATGTCTTTATTGTTTTCTACCCAGTTAGTATGTGTGTATGCACACATGTGTTCATGTACACATTCATGTGTGAGAGTGTGACAAGCCTTCCTTTCTGGCTTGTTGGAGAGAGGGTTTCTTCTCCCACTTGTACTTTGTTTGGCTGATTGGTTTTGTTTTGAGACAATGTCTCAATTATATAGCTATGGGGAAATCCCTGTGTAGACCAGGCTGGCCCTGAACTCACAGAGATCCACCTGCCTCTGTCTCCTGAGTGCTGGTATTAAATGCGTGTGCCCCCACTGCCTAGCAAGTTTTGTTTTGGTTTTGGTTTTGTCTTGTTTGACTTTAAATTTAAACTTAAAATTTATTTAAAAATTTTTAAATTATGTATGTGTGGGAGGGTGGGAGGGTATGTACATTTGAATGCAGTTGCTGGTGGATGCTAGATGTCATTGTATTCCTGGAGCTAAAGCTGAGAGATCCCTAGAGTGGCTGCCAAGAACTGAACTCAGGTCCTCCATAAGAGCAGTAGGTGTTTTTTATATTATTATTAAGATTTATTTATTTATTATGTATACAATGTTCTGACTGCATATATGTTTGCAAGCCAGAAGAGGGTGCCAGATCTCATTACAGATTGTTGTGAGATACCCATGGTTGCTGGGAATTGAAGTCAGGACCTCTGGAAGAACAGCCAGTGCTCTTAACCAATGAACCATCTCTCCAGTCCAAGTAGTATGTATTCTTAACTGCAGAGTCATCCCTAGGTTGTAGAAACTCAAATCTTTGTGTGGGTGGTGGTGGTGAGCGCCTTTAATCCCAGTACTGGGAAGGTAAAGGCAGGCAGATCTCTTGAGTTTGAGGTCAGCCTGGTCTACAAAGCTACATAGAGAAACCTAGTCTCCAAAAACAAAACAACAACAAAAATCGTCATGCATGTAAAACAAAACCTAACCAAAACAACTAAGCTTTTATTTCAGACCCTTTCCCTTCCTTTTCTTTTTCCTTTTCTTTTCTTTTCTTTTTTTTGGACAGGGTTTCTCTGTGTAGCCTTGGCTATCCTAGAACTCAATTGGTAGACCAGGCTGGTCTTGATGAGCTCACCGAGATCTGTCTGTCTCTGCTTCCCAAGTGCTGGGACTAAATCTATGGGCCACCACACCCAGCCCCTTTTATTTTAAGACATTCTCACCGTGTAGCCAGGGGTAGCTTTAAACGTTTTAATTTACATTTATTTATTTACTTATTTTGGCACATGTGTGGAGGGCAGAGGGCAACTTCATGGAGTCTGTTCTCTTCTCCCACCACATGAGACCTGGGGATTAAACCAAAGCCACCTGGTTTGGTAGCAAGTGCCTTTTCCCACTTGGCCATCTTGCCAACCAACAATTTTTCAATCCTCCTGCCTCAGTCTCTGAGTAGCTAGGCTAGTAGGCATGTCTCCCATACCCAACAGGCATAGATCTTACATGTAACAAGACTTTCATTTAGCAGAGGATTAACAGCCTTTCTCAGCATTATCCACTGTGGGAGTCAGGCGGTGATTGGCCGAGAGGCTGTGGGAAGAGAGAAGTGGGAACTCAGACAGGGAACTACCTTGCCCTGGGTCACTTGGGTAGAAACTGGAAGAACCAGGATTTGAACTCACACACTCAGCTGCCAGACCCTTGACATTTGCCCTGACTTTGGTGTCAAACCAGGGCAGGCACCAGGCAAGTGGGTCAGAGGGGCCATTTGGGCAGCCTTAAGGCATCCTTAGGTCCCCAGGGGCCCATCACCTATGGCCTCATTCCAGATCCCTGGTGCTCTGCCAAACCCCCTCTGTGGGCAAGAGGGCCCTTCTGGCCCCTCCTTGGCCTGCTGAGGGGAGGAGCTCCCTGAGAGAGGCTTGTTAGATTGTCCCCAGAGATGGTAAGCTTAATTGCCACTAAGGTCTGGGCCTGATGTGTTTGTAGGAGGAGGCCTGGAAGGAGACCAGCTAGGCACTGTTAGGATCTCGTACATATTTGTTTGTTTTTATGACAGGGTCTCGTGTAGCCCAGGATGGCCTCAGACTCATTACGCTGTTTAGGATGACCTTGAGCTCCCCATGCTCCTGTTGCCTCACCTGCTGGTTTTATGTGGAGCTGAAGGTCAACCCCAGGGCTTCAAGCATGCTAGATAATCATTCTACTTACCAAACTATATTCCTAACTCAGTATGTGTGTGAGTGTGTGTGTCAGTCAGTGTGTGTGTGAGTGTGTGTGTGTATGTGTGCCAGCGTATGTGCCAGTGTGTGTGTGAGTATGTGTGCCAGTGTGTGTCAGTGTGTGTGTGTGCCAGTGTGCGTGTGTGTGAGTGTATGTGTGTGTGTGCCAGTGTGCGTGTGCCAGTGTGTGTCAGTGTGTGTGTGTCAGTGTGTGTGCCAGTGTGCGTGTGTGTGAGTGTATGTGTGTGTGTGCCAGTGTGCGTGTGCCAGTGTGCGTGTGCCAGTGTGTGTCAGTGTGTGTGTGTGTGTTTTGACTTTTTCATACAGGATCTCATAGCCGGGTGGATTTCAAACTCTAAGCAATCCTCTTGCTTCAGACTCTCAGGCCCTAAGATTATAAATGTGAGCCACTAAGCCTAGTTCTTTAAAAAAAAAAAATTTTTTTTTTTTTAATTTTGAAATGGGGATTCTGTATTGCCAGACTGGCCTGGAATTTCCTATGATACCTAGTCTGTGGTGAGTTTACAATCCCCCTGCCTCAGCCTCCTGAGTGCTGAGACTGTACACATGTTCTGCCATGTCTTGACTCTGTTAATCTTTGCCTTACAGAACCTGGGGCAGCACCTCCCTGGGTGGCTTGGGGACTAGTCTGATACTCTGCTGCACTTACCCCCAGCAAAGGCCTGGTCAGGGACTCGGGGGACCTCCTGGTTACCCATTGCTGGGTTGATTTTGGACATATGGTTTTGGGGGGTTAGGGGGGAATTCACCTCCTTGATTTAGTAGCATATATATGGTCAGATGTAAGGTAAAATAAAAGCCTGGGTCCTAAAATTTTGTGTGGTAATGCTCACTTGTAATCCCAGTATTCCAGAAGTACAGGCCGGAGAAGCAGGATTTCAAGGCCAGCGTGGCATGTGAAACTCTGTCTTAAGACTACAACAATAAGGGCTTTAGGATGCAGCCGTGTTAAGTAGAGTGGTTGGTTGCCAGTGGCCTTGCACGCAGAAAGCTCTGGGTTTTGGAGTCCTCCCTGGTCTAGGTGCAAGATTGTTATCCCAGCACTTGAGAGATGGAGCCCGGAGGGTCAGGTGTTCAAGGCTACCCTCAGTTTTAGGTCCCGTGTGTTCAGGACCCGAATCAGTTTTACAGCAGCCTGAGCTTTGGGAGATCCTGAGATAAATATAAATAAATAAAAAGGCCTGGGTCAGGCCATCCAAGATGGAAACCTGGGGTCCCTCCCTTCCCGACCTTGGTCACTTCGGGATAACAGTGACCAGCAGGGCAAACTACCCAGGGCTCCTCCAAGCGTCCTCTGAGTGACCTTGATGTATCCTGATCTCCCTGGGGAGGGGGTTCTAATCCGCGGCTGGGGGACTCTCGAGGCCCTAAGGTTGTGAGTCCTCCCCCACGGTGGCACGGGGCGGGCCGTGCGGGCTAATCCCGTATGTAAATGACAGCCAATGGAGGGTGGTGTTGCGCGGGGCTGGGATTAGGGCCGGGGCGAATGGCTGGCAATCTTACTGGGATTACAGAACAAAGAGAGAACCTCCCAGAGCCCGGGCTCGGCTTCGCGCTCGCTCCGCGCCCCGCCCTCCGCCGCAGCCCGCGCCGGGGGTGGGGGCCCCGCGCAGCCCCCGGCCGGCCGCCCGCACCGCGTCCGCCCTCCTTCCCTCCCTCCCTCCACTGATCCCGTCCCCCATTCCCGGATTATTAACTCAGCAACCAGAGGCGACTGGATTCACCGAGTCCTGGCCACCGGGCCGGGGCCGGGGCGCCCGGAGCGCTTGGGGATCCTGCAAGGTAAAAAAGGAGAAAGTTTGACTGGGGGGGTGGGGTGGGAGTGGGGGATGGGGTGGAGAATGATGGAGAGGGGGTGCTCAGGAGCTTGCCTTGGCCTTGAGCCCCTATTTTGCACACCCGCCCCCCCTCTTTCAGTGTGTTGTGTGCATGGGAGGTCCCTTCCCTCCCCTCCCCCTCCAGGTGTCTCAATTCTAAGGCCCGCCTTTTGGGGTGTGTGTGCACGTGATCGGGATTATAATTCGAGTTTGGAGGGGGATGGGTTGGGATGGTCAGCTTCTTCCCTCCGGATACCTGCTGGAATCGGGAAAGCCGTCACCCCTCTTACCCTCACATTCCCTGGAGGTGGAGAGAGAGGCGCCCCACTGGCCTGGAGCCCAGCAGGCCCGGATACAGTTGGGCGAATGAGGTCAGTGGTGCTGCCCTGCCGTGGGAGGTTGGTGGAGGGGGCATCGGAAAGAGGCTTTAAGGACCTCCTCCCCCCTTTTCCCTCTTCTGTCTCCCTAAGCGCAAACTGAGTCCGCACACTGCCCCAGAGCGGTGGTTTCTTTTAGGGGGTCATTCTGTAAAGGGGCTGGCTTGCATGGTAGGAGCCGGACCTTTTTGGTTGGTTGGGGGTGACGGCAGAGACTTAGGGTGGCAGTTAAGAGGGGCACAGAGGCTGCCAAGGAACAAGTTGGGGGATCCTCGACTGTGGGTGGTCTCTGAGTTCTTGAAGAGGAGGGGGAGGGGCCAAAGGGTGCTTCGCGGCTCCCCATCCGGAGTCTCTAGACGAAGTGATCGTGACCGTTGTGACACCCAGCCTTGCAGCAGGGCTGGAGCTGGGAGTGCAACCTTTCCCTGGCCTAGGCCCCAGGGAAAGCTGCGGGAATGTGGCTCTTAAAGTTCTTCTGCCCTGTCAGGCGGCTAGTGGAGCTCCAGCTTTGCCAACTGGTCTGGTGACCCGGCATCCCGGGAGTAGATTTGAGGTGGCAGTTCCTGGGTCCCCATCCTGGTGAAGTGAAGGAACTCAGGAGCTGGGCTCACCTATGGAGTGTGTATCTGGAATGTAGGGTGTGATGGCTGGGCTGCCACAGCCTTTCAGAGGAGTGGGGACTCACAAGGGGCTCCTCTTACTGCTCGGAGTGCAGAGCAGCGTCCGGGGTGCTCAGTGGTCAGTGCTCTGTGTTCCTGTGTTGTGGCCGTCCTGTCTCTGGCCTTGGGAGGTGCCTTGATCGGTTCATTTATTTTAGCAGCGTCATTCCCAGAGGGAAAGGGCACCGGCATCGATTATTTATTCTATTTGGAGCAAGAGGAAGTGGTAGGAGGCTGGTGGCTGGCAGCTGGGAGGGGGTTGGGTAGTGGGGCATCAAAATGGGGTGCTCATACTGTCCAGTATCTTGACATCATAAGTCACCTGTTTAGGGCTTCTGGAATGTGTGATCGACTTTGGCCTCTTTAGAGAAGCTATCGGCAGACCTAGAAACGGCCTAGCATGGAGGTAGGGGGATGTTGGAACCCCCTAGCTTGTTTCTGTGTTGTAGAAAGCTAATGCTGTATCTCATTCTATAGCCAGCTCTGAGGGTGACCTAGAAATTGCCAGTTCCAACTCTGAAGGTCCCAGTGGATACCAGACAGGGAAACAAGAAAGGATTGGATCTATGCAGTTAGTCCTCCTTGTCTGGTCATTGGAAACAAGAGTTTGGTCTTGGGGACAGCTTCTCGAGGGGTACGCCTAAGTTACTAAGTGATTTGTTGTCTGGGGGGGTCGTTTATTTACATACTAATGACAATTTTGTTATCATGTAAGGCAGGCTCCCAAGAGCCCAGCCAGCCCCTGACACGAGGCAGTCTAGTGCCTGGTACTTGGAAATAGTCTGAAAGACAGACGTAATGATAGAGGTCTCGGAGGCAGCTGCTCAATTACTACATGTGCAAAGATCAGGGCGTGCACAGTTGGGTAATAGCTGGGTTGTTGGGGACCCGAGCTGAGTTTCTCTGGTGGGAAGGCTTGGGGTATTCATCATATCTTTAGTGTGACCTCGGGACCACAGACAGCATTTCCTGGCTGCCTGGACCCTGGTTTTTCTCGCTTTAGCCCACCTGCAACACCCTGGAAGCACTCAGGCGATTCTTCTGTGGGCCTGGCTAAGGGAGGGTGTGTAATCCTGCTAGAATTTTCCTCTTTACCTTCACACTTCAAGACTTGCCTAGTTATACTTTGTCCCCAGAGCCTACCACATCTGTGTTTCCATACTATCCTGGCTTTCTTCTGTCTCCATATTGCCTGGCTGTTCAAGTGTGTCCCTTTGATTACACTAGATGTAAGTGGGGATGGAATCTTACTGTTCACTTGTTGAGTGACTACATGTTGGAATGAATGAATGATGAATGAATGAAACCCTCTGTTAATTGGCTCTGTGTATATGTACGGATGCACTCATGATGCGAAGCATTGGGTTAATTAGGTAGTTACTTTATAGCTCAGGCTGACCTGTAACTCAGGACAGTTCTCCTGCCTCAGTCTCCCAAATGCTGGGTGGGATTACAGCTATGAGCCACCTCATAGTAGCCCTAGTGTCCTTCCAGGACATCTTCCATTCCTGGTTCCCAAGGGAAACCCTGTCAAGTTATCCCAACCTATGTGTTCCTCCAAACACAAGCCTGACACTGTACTCCCCAGTCTGATCCTTCCTGATGCTTCTGTGTGTGTGGTGTGTGTGTGTGTGTGTGTGTGTGTGTGTGTGTGTGGCAAGCAGCCAGTGACACAAGCCAGGTTCTTTGGGACAAGCCATCTGCCTGGGGCCTGCAGAAACCTTGACAGACACTTGAAAAGCAAGCTTTGTGGGGATTCATTCAGAAGCCCCAGGGATCAGAGCAGGATCCTGGCTGAGGGCTCAGACCTCACACTGAGTTGGTGTTTATTTTAATTAATTAATTAAAGGCAGGGTCTCACTATGTAGCCCAGGTTGTCTCTTGCACTCATGATCCTCCTGCCTCAGCCCTCCCAAGTGCTAGGATTGCAGGCAAGTGCCACCACACTTGGCCTGAACTCAGGTGGCATAAAGGCATTTCTGGATGAAGAGAAATGGAGACATGGGACTCTTCAGGGAATAGAGAAGTCCCAGCAGAGACTTTCAGCCGAGGAGGGCCAGAGAAGGATGAATTCTGGCCTCAGGAGTGGAATAGCATGGAGGAGCTGGTCAGCACATATGTCTCTGGTCTAACAACACTGATTGTTGCTGGGGAAATAGGTAAAGTGCTTGGCACCTAATCATGGTAATGTACGTTCAGTTCTAACATCCGTGTAAAAAGCCAGGCATGGTTGTCCACACTTGTCCTTCTAGTACTGGGGACAAGGAGACGAATGGACCCCTGGAGCTTGCTGGCCAGCCCACCTAGCCTATTTGGGGATCGTCAGGTCCTAGCAATAGGCCTGGTCTTAAAAAAACAAAGCAGGCTGGGTGGTGGCAGTGCGTGCCTTTAGTCCCAGCACTCAGGAGGCAGAGGCAGGTGGATCTCTGTGAGTTCAAGACCAGCCTGGTCTACAAGAGCTAGTTCCAGGACAGGCTCCAAAGCCACAGAGAAACCCTGTGTCAACAACAACAAAAAACAAACAAACAAAAAACCCAAAGCAAAAGGTGGTGGTGCAGGCACTTGGGGAGGTGGAGGCAGGTGGGTGAATCTCTGTGAGTTCGAGGCCTGCCAGGTGTATATACATAATGAGTTCCAGGCTAACTGGGTACATATTGAGATCCTGTCTCAAAAACAAACAAAAACAAGGTGGATTGTGCCTCCAGAGGCACAGCCCCTGAGGCCTCTGGTCTCTACATGCACACACACACACACACACACACACACACACACACACACACACACAAATGTTGTAGGATATTTGATCACACTGTGAACCCCGAGATTTCATGATATACTGGAAAAACCTGTTTCTAGTCGTGGTGTGGCTCAGCCCTCGCACACACCTTTAATCCAAGCTTTCTGCTTGACTGTTGTAAACAGGATTAAGTCAACCATAGGTCAAGAGGCAGAGCAAGCAACCAGCTGACAGGAAGTGAGCATAGGATTATTAAGAAAACACAATAGAGAGTAAGGAGTCAGGAGGACAGATATAGAGATGCACAGGAAGTAGAAGGGAGGGACGTTGATATTGAGACACTTGTTTCAGATGGCGGGAGAAAGGAGAGGCTTCTGGGTCGTCGAGGGAAGAGAAAGGTCGCTGGGTGCTTTTTCTGCCTCTCTGAGCTAGCAGGCTTTCACCCCAGCATCTGGCTCCTGAATCTTTACTGTTAAAATGGAATGATTTAAGATTTTGTTGAAGACAGTCCAATACTAAATAAATAACAGAAAGTTAATGTGATGCTGGGAGGTAGTGGCACACGCCTGCCTTTGATCTCAGCACTCGGGAAGCAGAGGCAAGCAGATCTCTGTGAGTTCAAGGCCAGCCTGATCTACTGTGTGAGTTCCAAGACAGCCCCCAAAGCTACAGGGAAACCCTGACTGGAAAAACAAAGCAAAAAGAAAGAAAGGAAGAAAGGGAAGGAGGAAGGAAGCTAGGAAGCTAACACGGCTCTGACTCTACCTCCCCATGGGCATACTCTCATGGCTGGCTTGAAGTCTTTCTTTTAGCCTTCCTGTTTTGATGCTCACTGAGGCTCAGCAGCTTATTGAGGGTGCACAGGGTGATGGGAAGCTGGGGAGGCTGGATTATTCTTGCAGTTCACCCCCTGCCTTGCCCTGTGACCCATGAGGAACCTTTGCCCCTACACCTACCTTGGGCCATTGTTCTAGAAGGACCTAACTTGACACTATCTGTGATTGGGTGCTCTGTCAATTCTAGACACAATGTCCCAGGTGACAGTTGTGGACAGGAAGAGGCTCCGAGTGCCAACTCAGGGGAGATGAGGTTTTCTTCTGTGCATGGACTTTATCCACCTCTGGGTGTGGGATGACTCATGGAGTGTTTCGGACAGGGAGTGTAGGACTTTCTTTCCAGACACCTTTCTTCT